ACTCATTTACATTTTTTAAAACGTTGAGGAGTAAGATTGCAATTTATTCTTTATTTTTCTTTTCTTTTCGTTTTTGTTTTATTTATATAGGAGGGTATAATTGTCATTTTATGTTAAAATTTGGTGAAAAGGACGTTTTGCGCAAGAAAATGCAAAAGTGGGGACGTTCTGCATCAAAAAATCAAACGTATGGACGTTTTCCACAAGAACTGTCATAGGTAGGGACGTTTTGCGCCAATAACCCATTATTTTATTTGGAAATTGTGTGGTTGAAATGAAAAAAGAAAATAAGAATGAGAAAGAGAACGGGTGCCAAACAGGGGCTAAATAATATTATAGCCTTGTTTGATCCACACTGTTAAAAAAAATGTATTCTTTCCATACTTATTTCGAATTCCAACTAAATTGGTCGACCAGAGCATTCATGCTCATGAATGCGCATCGAGCACGCTAGGTTTGTCCGCCAGTCAGGTGCTCTGGCCTTTTTCTGCGTTTTCTCCCATCTTCATAGATTTCCTCGCCAGTCACCTTACTCACTCAACCCACTGAGAAATTCTCTTGAAGAAATTCTTGAAATTGAGTTTAAGATCTGGTTCAAATCCGAAGTCCAAACCTTCAGTTTTTCCATGAAAAGCAAGAAGAAGATTTCATCAAGTGCCAATGCTGATGAATTGGCTCTGTCATTGTATGCGGAGGAGGTGGAGCCAGTTCCTTTGAAAGTCTACCTCCATTCTTGCGTAAGGCGTTCGCCACGATTCACCACCAATAAGTACAAAACGCCATCTCCGGCGAGCAGCAGCCGGCGGAAGTCAAAAGGGTTTCCTGCATTTGCCCTTTCTGTTCAGGAAAGGTCTCCAAGGCTTTCTGAATCATCTGCTCCGGTGGAAGCGTCGTTGAAGAAACGGAGAGGTTTTGAGGAGGAAGAAGTTTCAAAGAAAGTGAAGGCGTGTTTGAATGATAAAAGTTTAAGTTCTCCGAGGTTGAGACGCGGGGGTAAAGATGTAAATTCAAGGGGTTTTTTGCGCGCTAGGTGCTTAAGATCAAGAACTGTAGTAATGCATGTAAGTAATGAGAAAGAAAGGGTAGAGAAAAGTGTAAATTTGAAATGCTTAAGATCTCGAATAATTGAGTTAGATTTGGTAAAAACACCCAAAGCTTTGAAAACTATAGGTCTCGACAGTAGCTCTAGCAGGTTTCCGAGGTTAATTGAGGCCAAAAATGAAAATCTGAAGCCTGAGACGCCTTCATTGGAGAAGAGCTTAAGATCAAGAACTGTAAAAATGCACGTGGGAATTGAGAAAGAAGGGCCGGAGAAAAGTGCTTCGAAGAAAAGCATTTGTCATGCTATGTTGGTTGATAAGTGCATAAGGTCTCCAAAAGTAGAGTGTAATTTGGATGAATTGCCTCAGGTTTTAGAAAAACGGGATTTGGAAAAATGTGGTTCAGAGGTAATGAGTGAGAAGTGCTTAAGGTCTAGGAAAATTGACTTTAAAGTAAATGTGGAAGGAAGTGTTGAGAGAAAAACTCCTCGAATGGAAGGGTGTCCTTCGAAGAATGAAGGTTCTGTTAAAAAAGATATGGAATCAGAAAAAAAACGAGAAAAACAAAAAAAAACTGCGTGTTGTTTTATTGGGGAGCCAATTCCAGAAGAAGATGCTCGGGAGAAATGGGCATGGCGATATGACTTAAAGGTAAGTAGTTGAGATTTTGCTCGGATTTGTTATTAATACACATTGCATTTTGTTGAGAGTTCTGATCGTGATAATTCTCTTTATTGTGGTGATGTTTTGAATCATTGTTCTTTAGCATCACATACAGTCGCTGCTGCACAGAGCCAACACAGAACTCTTGAAAGATTTTTTTAATGGTGCAAATTTTTTTGTTGATATACTGAGTTTCTTATGAGGCATTTGACATGGATGTTGACATGCAGTAAGTCATACTTGACTTGCTTTCCTGCTCATAGAAATGCGATGAATGGTAAATATTACATTGAGAATTTATATTTTGATGCATACCCATACAACAGTGAATCAAAGTGCGTAAGCCCCTTTAGAGTAGGGATAGAGGTGGTGTATTGAAGAAAATCTAAGCAAGGGCGGTTGTACATCACCTGGACACATTGGAAATCAAATAGGACTCAAATACTTATAATATCTCATATTGAAACCTTAAAATTGAAAGATAGTTTCTAGAAATTAAGTTGCAATTCTGGGAAGTGCATTATTTCCTACAGAACACTTAATGCACTTAAGGATCACAATCATTTTGACGATTTCAATGGATGAAATAGCTTGATTTGGTTTCTTTTGATTGCTTCTGATTTTATTTTGTTTTTCTGTTTTAGCTTGCAGATGACCACCATGCTTTTTTACTGCATAATAAGCCTGTTGAAGTCCTGATGTTTATTATTTTTTGAGCTTTGCATGTGGTTTATCGTTCTTCTTGATAGAAAGTTACAACTTTAAATATTAAAGTATTTACATGCTCTAATTTTTATCTTTACATTTCCCCAATTTCTAGTTACTTGATCCAATTTGATCATAGAATTTTTCTTCACATTTCTCAACATCAATTTGTCCAAAAGGGATGTTTTGTATGAGCTGTCTGATAGATGATGCTTCGTAATGCTTATGTTTAACGAATTAAAATTTATTTATTTATTTTATTTCTCACACTGCTGTTGCACTGCGTATTTCTTACGCAATTGGTAGTTTCTATTCTGATCATGATTGATTATGGACTTTTCAGAGCCAAAGAAAGGATCAAAGTGGGAAATTGAAGTGAGTGAATATTACAAACATTTCTTTTTGGTGGTGTCTCAATCATTTGCTTTCGGTGTTTTCATGTTTCCCGTATGTAGTTGCTCTTTATTTATGAATATCTATCACTGCAGTAGTGGTGAAGAAGATGAAATTATATTGAATGTACAGTGCCATTATGCTCAAGCCAAAGTTGACAGTTGTGTTCTTAACGTCGGAGATTGTGCATATATGAAGGTAAGTTGACTTAGATTTTTATGTTTCTTGATATGAAGCAGTAGTTTGCTTTGTCTTGTACTTTTTTCTCATTTTTCTTCTCTCTCGTACTTTTGAACTTTTACCTATGAATCATAGTTTTGAGCCATGTTGTCATTTAACAAACAGTACCTTGTGGATGTTCATCCATTATACATATTTGTGTACACTACATTTGAAACATCGGAGCCATACGTATGTATATCATATCTTATCCACGAATCCTAATGTAAGTCTTCTCTAAGTTCATTCAAGTTTACAAGTCTCAATCAGGTAATTTATAGTATGGGAATCAAGTCACCGTCCCCTGACTTCTACAATCGAATCGTAATAAGAGAATTGTGTACTACAAAGGCACTGTCAAGAAAATTAAATCAATTTTTGTACTCATATTTTAGTTTCTACCATTTTATATGTTTTCTCGGGGTGCTGGTACTTTGGATTCGGTTCTTGACTTTCTCATGCTGGATGCTCGATAAAATTACCGTACTTAGTGGAATTCGATGTTTGGACTGATTCATTTTGTTGATATTTCTGTACCAGCTAATGACATTTAACTATCACTCATCTGGCTATTTCTTAAACAACAAAAGTTTGACATCCTAAGCAATTCCTTCAGGGTGAAGGAAATAAAAAACATGTTGGGAAAGTCTTGGAATTTTTCAAGACAACGGAGGGAGAAGATTACTTTAGAGTTCAATGGTTTTTCAGAGCTGAAGATACGGTCGGTATAATTCTTGATTTGCTGTTGATCTGATATTTTATTCTATTTCATATCTCATATTCTGCCTTTTGTTTCTATTTATATTGGACTCTTCAGGTTATGAAAGATGCTGCTTCTTTTCATGACAAGAAGCGCTTATTCTACTCCACTTTAATGAACGACAACATATTAGATTGTATTATTTCGAAAGTCAACATTGTAAAAATACCACCTGTGGTATGCTCTATTCTGAGAAGTTCATACTTATGCTTGTTCTGCCTCATTTATGTGCTAAAATACTTTTAGTATTAGAAATCACAGGTTTATTTTACAACTTTGATTGATATTTGCATCTTTTTGGCTCCTAAATTGATTGTGATCTAGTTAATATTGCAGCTGTGTGAAAAACCGAACATTATTCAACCGGCTGCTTTTTATTATGATATGGAGTACTCTGTGGAATATTCAACATTTCGTACTTTGTCAACTGGTGAGTAGTGTGGTAAAAGAAAATATTTTATTCTCATTGTTTGCTAGCTTCGGAAAATAAATAAATCAATTTTCTTCCTACGTGGTTCTAGAGTTCGGATATTTTCACGTCTCTGCACTTCACTAGACACTAATGGCATGCTTGGTAAAGAGTATTGAATAGCACTAAAGAGAATCGAAGAAGAAAATGATTTAAAATGATTATTGAGTCTTATCGAGTACAGCATACCAAACAAACACTAACGCCTCTGCTTATCTGAATATTAGTGCACTTTCTGAATTAATTTCTCAGTATTGCCTTACCAATCTGCTTTTCAGAAAATTATGTTGACAGCCATGATTCATTCTCAGCCAAATATGCGGACCCCAACTACCATTCTGTTACTGAAACACCCTTGCAGGTTCTGTCCAATTGTGAATCTCTGAAAGAAGAATTAGCATTACTAGACCTATTCTCTGGCTGTGGTGGAATGTCAACTGGATTGTGCTTTGGTGCAAATCTTGCTGGTCTCAATCTTGTAACGGTAATTGTTAACTCTTACTCCCAATTCTAATTTTTTTTATTATCTTCTATCTATTTATTGAGTCACTCCATAAGCATGTTTGTTAAATCCTTAAAAAATGTAAAAGTACTAAAATGTATCTGATTTCTTTCCCTTATTTTTAGAAATGGGCCGTTGATTATAACAGGTCTGCATGTGAGAGCGTGAAACTAAACCATCCGGAAACCCAAGTTAGTAACTCCTTTCCCCTAAAAATTCATAGCGAGCTCATTTTGTTTGTAATACGGCGAAGCTTAACTGTACTTCCTTTTGTATAGGTTAGGAATGAATCTGCTAATGATTTCCTAGAGTTACTAAGGAGCTGGGAGAAGTTATGCAAATCATATGTGTGCGATTTAGACAGAACACATGAATTCGGATTGGAGGACGACTGTGAAGAAAGTGACGGCAATATAAATTCTCAATTGGATGAAGAGGTTTCTTCTGAAGAATATGAAGTTTCCTGTCTGGTTGATATTTGTTATGGTGATCACGGTGAAAGAGGAAAGCGTGGGATACACTTCAAGGTACTGCATAATGAATAAAATTTTGATGAAATTAATTCTTTTATTTGATTGATTAAACTAACTGAGAATGATATCATTTCTTGCTTGAATCTCGTTTGGTCAACGTGTTACCACCTGTTGAATTTTTAAGGTACGTTGGAAGGGATATGGTCCAGATGAAGATACATGGGAACCAATTGAAGAGTTGAGGTGAGTTCTATATAATAATAAACTTTCGGTTTTGGCTGTTGTGTTTAGCTACTTCTTATATTGTACTGTGTGTCCATTTATTTTGTTTCAGTAATTGTGAAGAGAAAATATGGGATTTTGTTAGGGAAGGATTGAAATCGAAAATTTTGCCTCTCCCGGTATGTGAATTTTATTAGCTGCCATTTTCAAGTTAAATAACAACACAATACTCATTTCTATAGTTGTTTCTGTGTTTAAGAGCATGTTTGGCCAAGCCTTCGTCCATTATTTTTAGATGATAGAAGATAAAAACAACGCTTGTAAGGAGTCCTATAATATAGTCATGGATAATTATGAGATGAGAGTCAATTTTTCTCATTGAATCATTCATACATATGTATATAGGCAACATATAGATTTTTT